TTTTCGACGGATTTGCACCAAAAGTTACGTGCACATGCTACAAGTTTGTGGGAAGGCCAAGACCGACATTGCATTTCCCATCGATAGTGGAAATAATTGATTTTTTCATGCTTCTACGGCAGTTTTCATGTAGTTTGCAGCCATTTTCTACTGGCCAGAGTGAGAGCATATAGCTGGCTTCCACGAATAGGCAGGAAGATTCTATTGGCCAGCATGAGAGCCAAAAGCTGACTGACACGAATGTTAACTAGCATGCCAGCATGCAAAAAAAAAAAAATCGATAGCTGCATTCGTCACAAGTGGGAAAAATTTAAATTTGCATGGCACTTTACTCCAATTGGCTCATTCGCTTGCTTAAACTCGACGTTGATTCTGATTCCGCAGAACTGGGTTGGGTGTGAAAAACTATTTGTTGTTAACATTCTTTTTTCATTCGGTTTTTCCAGTTACGAGTCCTTTTTTAAAGCTGGTCGTTTTATGTTCATTTTGTTTAGCTCTTTTTTCGTAACAGATTTAATGTTTAGTGAGATAGACAAGAAGTAAGGCATGTAGCAACATCAGCACGACAAAGGGCACTTCTTTAAAGGCAAGGAAGGGCAAAAATATTTTAAGTCAAGTGATAGCGATTGCTGTATGAGTCGTACGATTTTTGAATCAAGCACAGGCAACGCCGGGCCATGCTGCTAGTTGACACTAAAAATAGTAAACAACCGTGCTGTTAGAAAAAAGGACAAACCTTGTCCTTCTGAAAGTTAAGTTGGAAAAACCTGATAGAGAACATAACCCGTATTTTAGTGGCCAAGTCCCATTCACAATTATAGAACTTTATCTGCTCAACCAATGAGTGACCGTTTTACCTGCCCAAGGCAGTTTTAAATTGCGAACAGTAGTAATGGCATGGTAAAAATGGCACCGGCAAAAATAGTACAAGTAAAAAAAAATAGAAAAAATTGGCTTGATCTACAAGAAAGAAAAATAATTTATTCTGACAACATAGAAGGACCGAAAAATCATCATCAAGTTTTAAGTGAACTTGATCAAAACAAGTTTCTAGTAATTTAATAACTAGAATCTTGTTTTGACTAAGTTCACGTTTTTAAAGGTTGATATAAAACTTGGTGCTCATGTCTAAATATATTTGATTTTATTATTATTTTTTTCATGCATTTTAAACTTATACACTCATATTATTAAATGGAGGCTAAACAATTTACTTTCTTTCGCTAATATATATATATATATATATATATATATATATATATATATATATATATATATAGAAGATAGATAGATAGATAGATAATATTAGTGGAAAATAGACATACATATGCAAAATATATAAAAAAATACCCATACATTATATTTTTTTTTTAGAAAAAAAAATTCTAAGAGGAAGAATCCAGGTAGAACTCAATGTCTAGGACAGAGTAAGGATATAATAAAAAGGCTTAAACACTAATATTCCATGGTCATAATTTATTCCATTGGAATCGTAAATATGATCCAATTCATCAGACCTACAAATTCCAAATATATATATATATATATATATATATATATATATAAATTATAAATACAAATATATATATATATATATATATATATACAAATATATATATATATATATATATATATATATATATATATATATATATATATATATATATATATATATATAATTTGTTTAAAATTAGATTTTTTCAAAACCTTTTTTTGCCTATGGTGCATGTTTCAATAAACTTATTTTTTCCAACTTTTCTACCTGTGCCATTTTTACGGATGCCCTTATAATCTATGCTATTATTAGCTCAATTAATTTTTAAATAGATTGGACAGTTATCAGGACCCTGCAAAGTTGGAAATTTGGGAGAACGTATTCAGGATAAGCATTGTCCAGAAGAATAACTTTAATCTTCCGCAACTCTTCTTCCAAATTTACAGGAGGACTGTATATATATATATATATATATATATATATATATATATATATATATATATATATATATATATATATATCAGGCACGATTTATTACTTTTGATTTTTTAAAAATTCAAAGCACTAATTCGTGCCCGATGAATTGGAAGAAGAATGAAACTTCGAACGTAGGTATATGTATATTTATTAATATATACTTCTTAGCTCTGTCTAACCACATTGACCACTGTTTCGTTTACATCTTAAATTAAATTGAGCAAATATTTATTCGCTTACCTGTATATGCACGCTAATACAAGTATATACTGTTCGTAATATCTTATTATTTGGCTTTTGGGTACATTAGCGTGAAGTAATTATTGTGACTTTTTCTTTTTGAGCGATTAGTCGTAAGTTCGATCCTCCCTGATCCCTTGTGTCAGAGATGATCAAATCTTAGCTGTTGTTAATTATCCTGCATTGCCTTAATAGTAATTTATGTAGTTATTTTGGACGAAATTTAATGTAGAGGATTCCGGAATTGATAAAGTTTCAGTACATTTTTCATCAATAAAATTTTCTTGGCCCAAACTACGGAATTTATTTCTAAATGATGGCCAGACATCTTAACGATGAAGAAGCAATATATTTAAGACTTTGTTTTGCAAATATTCCCA